GTCCAATGGATGATGATCTGATTAGTCGACTAATAAAATAATCGTCTGTGGCAGCCCTAGTTCAGATCTTCATGAGTCACTGACATTAAAAGCCTGTTTGTCACAAGCACAGAGGCTGACAGGACGTCAGTGTTTGAGTGACGATGGGATCATAAATATCCTGGATCTGTTTTCCACACGTCGCAGTTTACTGAAGCATTTTAAGCTGCATTAATTCATCCATTAAATATTTGATTCTGTGCTAATATCACAATTTAGACGTTAGTTAAAAACACATTTTATTTAAATTATTATTACAGCGTGTGGCTGATCTGAGGTCAGTTTTTTCTTTTTAAGACTGTTCTGTTTCGGGCATGTAGACGAAGCTCCTGTGCCGTCGCACCAATCAGCTTATACACACACAATACGGTAATATTATGTTGGAGCACAGCACGTATCACTCCGAGGCTCCGCCTACGATGCCGTAATGCTCCCACAATCCATCAAGCGGTGCGGCTTCGTAGCTCAACAAAGTCGTACTGCAACATTTGACAGATTTTCGAGCGCCGTGCACATAAAATCGGTTTGGTAATATTCTATATTACTCATATTCTATTGCGATATTTCATTTTCTTATAATGGCCTAACATTATAAGCAAAAGTTAGGCCCCAGCACTAGTCGCATCTTTGTTTGTTTCGGTTCTGTGCTCCAACAGCACTGAAATATCTTTATCTAAGAATCAGACATGAGAAACCTTTTAAAGACTAACTTTTCTGTAGCTCCGCTCGAGTCTTTCTGCTCAGCTTTCAGAGGAGCTGCAGTTCCTGCTTTAGTGCTGTCTCTTGTAGTTGCGGCCTTTGACCAGCAGGTGTCAGGCTTCCCGTTGATCATGATGAACCCAGCGCTCACAGCACTGTTGATAGTCGTGGGCGCTGACTGTAAGTGCCGTCAGGACTGAGCAGAGGTTCCTGGCAGTCGTGACTGTGAGCCGCAGTGATCTCAGTGTTGGCGGGCAGAGGGCGGTTAAAGGTGATTTCCACAAACTCACTTTCT